TTTCAAATAAATGCTGCTCTTTTGAACTTTCTATTCATCAAAAGTATCCTGGAAAAAAGATCTACCACAGCTTCCACGGAAAAAAAAACTGTCGTGACCATTGATAATAATAAGAAATGTTTCTTGAGCAGCAAATCAGAATATTAGAATGATTTCTGGAAAATCATGTGACAGTGAAGACTGGAGTAACGGCTGCTGAAAATGCAGTTTTGCCATCACAGGAATAAAGTACATTTGAGCATATATTCAAATAGAGAACAGCTGTTTTGAATTGTAATATTACACAATATTAGTGATTTTACTGTGTGTATTATTTGTTTTGATCAAATAAATGAAACCTTGGTGAGCGTAAGAGACTTCTTTTAAAAACATAAAAAAATCTTTACCTCTTTTGAATGATAGTGTACAGTTGTGTAGTATATTTATATTAATAATTCTCAATGATGAACACAGCAGCACAGTGTATTTGAAGTGAGTTACCTGCATGCAAAATTGTAAAATATACTGACCTCATCTTGTGGAATATTGTGAAAGCCATACTGTTTTAATGTCAGAATGGATGCATATAAGGAAAAAGCTGTATGTACATAGACTGATGTTCTATTTCCAACATCCTCCTCGTAACCTCGAGTAACAGCTCCATTTACTCTGTTTAAGAATAATACACACAATTTCAGAATACACACAGTCATGACCTCAGAATAACTGTTATTGTAGAATCTGTTATTGGCATGCATTATCATTAACATAACTAATTCATTCAGTTGTCAACTCTACCTTAGCCATTTTTTACATCTAATTTTAAAAAACTTTTTTTTTTTTTTTATTAAAATTTTTTTTTTAAAACATTTACTCTTACCGAAAAACGTAATCATGGGAGTCTATCTCTTTGCCCATCTTTGAGTTATTGAGAATGCCACCAGAGCCCACAACAGCACAGCGGATACAGCCATCCTTTGAACTTTCAGGCACAGGCAGTAATATTGAATACTTAGGCTTTGGTATCAAATCCACTGCTCCTTTTACTTCTTCAGTGAGGGAAAAAATGCACGTCAAGGAACGCAAAGTGCATGGGGGACAGGTCATCCAAACTTAAAAGAATTGTTGGCCCAAAAATGAAAATGTAGTCAGCCTAATGCCATCCAAGATGTAGATGAGTTTACATTACATCGCTTGCTCA